TACATGTATGTGAATTCCCGTTTTTATTCTTCTTTAGGTATCATCCCATGCAGACAGATCGCCTAAAATTACATTCGTATGATGCGAGACTCGACATTCACCAGGAAGGGAGAAACAGTTTGTCACCCATATGATGCAAATACATTTTTACTGCTTAATAAATTATAATTGACAGTCATATGCAGTTCTATAAGTATGAGAATGGCATGTCGTCTTGATATTTCAAGGAAACTCGTTCCAAAAATTATTGTGGTGATTGAAATGACGATGTAAAGATAAAACCGCAACGAAACATTTGTAGATTTCTTTGAAAAACTAAGAAATCTACATCACATGTTGAATTCTTCAAAACAGAAAAAAACATGTAAAAATAGGAAGGCCTGTAGATCAGATTTCCCCTGGTAGCATTAACATTGGTCTCGTATTAGTTATAAGTTATACAATTAATATTAGAAACCCAACTATCATCTTATGATCGGACATAAGTATGATGTGTACTTCAAGCCTAAGGTAATAAAGTAGCATCATACATCATAAATTCGAATAATAGTTGTGTTTCAAATATTAATTGTATGACATGTATGTCTTTACATCGTTATTTCAATCACCGCCATCACGTTTCGAACAACTAACCTTGAAATATCAAGACGTCATGCTATTCTCAGCAGTAAAAATTAATTTGCTTCATGGGTGACAAAATGTTTCTATTTTCGTGGTGAATGTCGAGTCGCGCATCATACGAATGTAATTTAAGGCGATCTGTCTGCATGGGGTGTGTGTAAAGGCGTCTGTTATTTCTGTTACCCCCCCCCCCCCCTCATTACGATCATTATTACTGAAAAGAATAGAAATGCTCGTTATCCAAGAAAAATAGTACCATGGATACAGAGCTCGCTTCGGTGAGAGCTGAAAGTCTGATTTTCGGCAAATAAAAATGGCCGCTATTTAGAAGCAAGGTGAGATTTTGCTGCTTATGGGACGATGGAAGACGTTTATATTGAGACATTTTAATTCAAATGAAACTATTTGAATTCTAGTGGAGGATTACAAATGAGCCACCAATGTATTGACACACAGACGGAGTGACATATAAGTTAGTGGGTCGGTTATTACCAGTTTTCACAAGCGAGCTAAAAATATCCATCTTTAAAATTAGCTACATCTTTGGATTTTAAAAAAAGCCTAATGCGTATCTAAAATAAAGAGCTTCACTTGTCTAAATCAGTATAAACAATGCTGAATGTGGGAGCTTCCTAACTATCCAGGGTGTGATACATTTAAATTTGACATGAAAAGTAGATATTTAGAAATACATTTAAACCCACCCGGTCCATTATCTGTGCCTACCTATACCAAGGGAGTGAGATGAATGTTGAAATCCAAAGAACGAATGGCTATAGACATCCCTGGGGTCACTTAACATTTTTTGAAAAATGGCTATGTCGTTAATTTCCTTAATGTGTAGGACCATATTGTAGATAAATATGTATATTTTTGAGAAATAGCAATAAAAAACATTCAATATTTCTGATATAAGTATATTTTGGTTGATTTGGGAGGTACATGTACTAGAACGAGTAGGTCCTCCATAACTTAGAGCATGCTCAACAATTTCTGGTGATCGTCAAAACGTTGCCGAATTGGTTTTAAACTGCGTGCGAACTGAATGAACGTAGCTACAACGTTCTACGGTCTATTTACGAACTTCATGGACTTTCCCAGACGGGGAATGTGATTTAGAATCGATTCAAAATTCGATGGCGACCATACCGTTCTGTAATCAGGTCATGATGATCTTCTAGCCTAAGGGACGCGTTATACGACGTTGCACACCGACGTGGTGGGACCTGAACGCACTGCGAATGAGATGGACGTATTGAAGACTGTTTATGAACGAAGTAGCTAATTATTTTAGACATATTTCCCGACCACAGCCAGATTGAGCCCGTTTTACGACGTTTTCGTAGGACTGGCAAGAACGGGTAAGAACTAATTTGGTATGATAGGGGGTAAGGTACATCTTGAGATATATAAAAATCTAGGTAAGGACCAGGCGTTGTGCAAAAACAGAACTTTTATGCAATTTTCAGCATGAATTGACATGATGTCAGCCATCTTGAAAATCCTTAGAATGATTGTGACAATTGTGTTTTATATATTCAAGTATATTTTCTTATTTCATATTATCATTTCATGAACTAATAATTATGCTTGCAGTGAAGCATGACCTCTAGAGAACGATATATTTTTACCATGGCTCTAAACAACATAATAACATGTAATTCCTTTCTATACATTCATATATGCAAAATTGAGATGATTGTCGTACAATCATTTAATCTTCGTATGACAGGCGTCATTTTTGTCAATGAATAATTTTAAAAATTGTTATATTTTATGTGAAATAATAAATTCACTATTTTACTGCCACTTTAATGCAAACTGTATATGAGCAATTGGTCACAAGAAAGCAGATCAATAATATAATTGCATTAGCATATGCATTTTTGGCTTGTTAATTACTTCATGTGTTTTTTATATTGCCCCTTGTTCTTTCTCATTGTGATGTAAATAAAAAAACTCAATATTCTTTTCTGACACATGTTTGTAGACAATTGATCTTGATAAAGTATAAAGAAGATCACTATTCAGTATTTTTTGCATTTTTGACTTATTCTTTTTTATGTGTTTTCGAATGTTGCCCATTATGCTTTGTTAGATAATACCAAGAGGATCAATTAAAAAAGTCTTAAATGACTGTAAATAATGATTATTTTGATAATTAATAGAAACAGTGACAATAGTAATGTGAAACGAGTGATTTTTCCCTCAAAAAGTCATTTTACATGTATATATGTTAATAGAATGACCTATATTTTGAAATATAAATGTCAGAATGACCTAATTTTTTAACCTGGTTATCAAACAAAGTCCCTTCTTTGATATCCTGTACAATTTCTTCTAAATATCTGAGGGGCTAATATAGGGTCTTAAAGACACTCGTCCTTTACTATTTGGTTCATCTTTGGACTTGAATAAAGCTTTAACTTCTCAGACTCTAACACTTTTTTCACACTCTAACATATTAACCTTCAATTAAAGTTTGAGAAATTGACCAAATGACCAGCAGTTTTACATTAGGTTAATTGTATACTTTGCAATTTGACTCTTTATTAGTGCTTTAATCTGGTTATCACACCATTGAGGGACCATGAAGATAATTTATTGCAGTTGTTTTGAACATGGATGAAACCGTTGAGGGTTATCTTTCGTCCACAGGTGAAATACTAATAGACATGAGGCAAGACATCTTAGGAGGATGAATGCTGAAGTTATTTTCAATGTCAATGAAGTTATAACTATAGTTTTAATACGAAGGTTGTCCCAAAAGTAATGCACTATATGCTCTAACTTCATCAATAATTGATATTTTTCCATGAAATTTTCAGTGAATGTTCCTAAGAGACACTGATTATTCTACAAATTTTCATTTTGACTGATAATACTATGTTGATGTTATAACAAAATCAAGTTGGTGAGTTTGGGTAGGGTAGGGCAGGTTAGTGTCACGTCGAAATGATTAAAAAACATGAAATAATTAATCAACAAACACCATTTTGTGAAGCTGTAAGAAGCATGCTCAATAATACATTTTAAGATAGTAAATTGTTAGGAGAACATCCTAGACTTAGTGTATATTGCACAGTGTCCCATTTTACATTTTCTCAAAATATTGGCCTCTGCATGTTATGTACTTTTGATGCCACTCAGGTCGAACACTTAGCAATTTCTTCAACCGCGACTTGTGGCGTTTTTGCCTCCTATGTTTGGCAGGAGTTGTCATCCAGGGTCCAGTCATCACTTTTAAATATCTTCTTACACCCCATAATTGTAGTTTTATCTGGTGTATACTCCTTCTTTATCCACGTTGCTTATATTGTATCGTTCACGCACATCAGTCATGGTGAACGGAGTTGATTTGTGTTTGTGCTTATCCTCAATTTTCTGTTGTACGTCTGCGCATTGATGATGTGCAGACGTTTCCAAGGGTAATAGAAGTTGCAATCTTGACGCCAGCGGACAATAGTTCAAATGTATATTCCCGCTTCTTTCATTTGAGGGAATATAACTTTTGAAGTGAAATAGTAAATCTATTTCGGGACACGTGACTAGGTATTGACCAATCCGGATTAGTGTTACATATTGGGTATATAATAATTTACACTATTGGCGTTTGGCTGGTTATCCTCCGAGGCAATTCTTTTTCTTGTTATGCTGAAACATTCCCTCTAGCTGTCTAGCAACGATTCCAACTAAAAACTAACAATCAAAGAGTATTAAAAACACCAGAGAGTGCAAAGTACAGTAGTGGTGGTGTTCAGATTAGAGAGCTGTTCGGATGATATACAGGTTTTCTTGTAGAATCAACAAAACAAAATCTAGTAAATACAGCAGGAATGCACATGTATTGAACGAAAGGCATACAGTAAGATGTTAACAAATATAAACGCAGTCCAATGTCACTATGTGAATAACAAATTTTGAACAAGATGCTCGTATTTGAAGTAGATGGTTAAGTCAGGAAGATTGTTCATTACAGATGTCAATTCTTGGTAGAGTATTTTATTACAGTAACTGAGACAATAATACAAAACATAGACCCCAGTGCCCAATAAATACAGAGATTACTCTTCCATTGAAGTTTCACAAAGGTTTTGCACACAAAATGCAATGTTTTTGAGATCAGAGGCTCATGAAATTGAATAAAATTACAATGATTACATTATTTGAGTTCAATTAATCAACGTTTAATTGAGATATCACAAAACGAAACTGAACTGACCAAAGCAGTTCAAAGTTCCCAAAAATTGATAAAGCATTCAAAATCAGGGAACTTGGTAGATCGGTGGAAATACATGATTTATCCTGTTGTCTCAGGTTCATCCTTAATATTCTTTATGTCAATGATATTAACAATTGCTTTAAGCAATAAGTGCTACGATTGATCATACGTGTAATAATATCCAAGCTATATCATATGCAGAACACTCTATATCACTATCTCAAAGATTAATAATGATTTGTAATTTCAAAAGAACAATACATCATAATCATAATCATCAACTAAAAATGAGTCCATAAAATCACATTTGGCAACTGCATGAGATAGCAAAGGGAGTGTCCGCGTTATGTGTTCACTTTTGAGAAGTATGATTTGCTGCCTTTGGGGTCTGCTTTCATTGTTTCTTTACCTGGTTTCCAGCCTGCAGGACACACTGAAATAACAAATAAACATTTGGTAATGTTCTTCCTCAGTCTTAAAAGTCTTGCTGCACACACTGTGCAGGCATACTAGTACATCTTTCTGTACCTTACGTTACCATAAAACAGGTAGGCTAAAAAACCATTTAGATTTTTAAGTCAACTACGTGCAATTAATAATATAGAATCATTTAGCCAAACATTCCAGGATTCCCTTTGTATGATTGAAATAACTGATATCTTTAGAAAACAATTTGTTCACTCAACTGTACTGCACATTCTCTACTGATCGATTTGAATATATTGCGGATGATTCTATGAGAGAAGAGAAGTTTCTATAAATCTCACAATCTTCTTTAACTCTGTGACTAAATGCACCATCTATCATCCACAGGAATCCTTAATTTATTGATCTCACTTAAGTGCTGCCACCTTTATGTAAAATAATTGGCGGAAACAATAGGTTTCTCTGATCGCAATATTTCTCCCAATGCTTTGATGTCAGAGTGAAGAAAATGCTTTGACAGGATTTTTTCACCTCAATGGCAAAATACATGAAAAATTACTTATGAGAGTCCACTGAAAATAATTCAAAATTCTGCAATTCTGCAATTCTTTAAATGATCCATGTCAAACACAAATTCTGTCTGTACAATGGCAAAACAGAAACTGGGAGGAGAACAGGTTACACTGTTAAGGTAGAAAATGATTAAAATACATGTAGGAGCAGCCTCTCTTAGAGGGTGAAGAGATAAATTGTTTGAGCAGAAGATAAAATTTAACATGATTTTAAATATGAACCTTCGCCATGTTTGTCAGTAAACTGGAAAGCCTGCACCAGCCTGAGAGTCTCATCCACTGATCTGCCAACAGGGAGGTCATTGATTGTGATCTGGCGTAAGTCACCCTTGCCATCAATAATAAACAAACCTCTGAAATATCAAATAAACAATATAATCTTCTTAAAAAATAAATAAACAATATAATAATACTTAAACAATTTTCATTATGATATAGGAACTCAAGATTTCATTAGATTTTCTAACAACAGATGAGGTTAAATTACTAAACATAAACGGGCAAAATGGAAGTGGTGAATTCAACAATCGTGGAAATTCTAAAAAAGGAATAGTTGGTATTAATTCTGAGAAACAATGACTAAATAATGATCCAATATACTAGTCTTTGCCACAAATAAGTCTGTGGTATTTCACAGAAACTCTGCAAAGATTATGTTACATCAAATTATATTTACATTATATTTCTACTTTGTAGGAAAAATAATTCATGTATATTTTACATTATGTTTCTACTTTGTAAGAAAAATAATACTGCTTGATTAAAGATTTTGAACACTGATTACAGTAATATGCCTGATTCCTACACCACAAATCAATGAAATGAGAACATACACTTTATAATAATAACATTAACTCTTTTGACTGGGAAGTTGACTAATTCATCCTATCGGTAACTGACGACTTTTATACATGTACTATGCTGATAAGTTTTCCGTTGTGTTTATAGATGTCAGGCTCTGTCGAACCTTGTGGATTATGTTTGTACAGCAAAAAACATAAACGTAACAGGAAGTTAATGATATTTCGTGACTTTTTCATATAATAAACTGATGTTTTCTCTAATATTATTTGAAATAAAGAAAAAGGGATTTAAAATGGCTGCCGCTAGAGCACGAACTCTCATATGTATTAGGGCTACTGAGGACAATTTTGATCAAATATTCAATGATTTGGACAGTGAAAACGATACTTGATAAAAAGAGGTGAAAACTATGATTTAATTTGGGTTTTTGGATGGTATAATTTTATTTTTATTATTACATAGAATATTATTTAATTTTATTCTATTTTTCTCATTGATATCATGATCAATGATGTAATTGCTAGTCTATACGCAAGAATTTGTATGTTTTGATGGTTTGAAATGGTAGAACAATATACTGACAGCATGTACTAAAAATTTGATCAACATCTGATTGCTAGTTAAAAAGTCATGACTGTTTGAATAAAATCGGTCAAAAGTAGACAATTTTCAGGAAATTAATTACCAATCCTATCAATGTACCAAATTTGCTAATTACCACTCAAAAAACAGCACATGTATTTTGAATCAACAGAACTCCATAAAATACTATTGATATAATACATCAATGCTGGCTGGAGCCCATCAACATTTTGTTGATGAAGCTCTCTTTTAATGGAGCAAAATCAAATTATTCGAGCAAATGCAAAGTGATACAAACCTAAAGGCAATTCCCTCATCTTCCTTATAGACAGCATATTTTTTAGAAATCTCTCCAGTCTTATCAGCCAACAAAGGGATCTTCATGTTGCCCAAACCCCCTTGCTTTCTAGGAGTGTTGCACCTAGAAGAAGATATACATTTTCAGCTTATAATGTCTCAATAAAATCTAAATTTTCTCATTTGTGCTACTTTTTGTAACTTATGCAGTACTCATAAACCTTCACGAAAGGTGTTTGTAACTGTGAACTCCAGTTTTCAATTATTTCTCTTTAATCACATTGTCTCCCCTACATATTTGTAATGCATTGTCTGATGTTAAAGGTTTGAGTTTGATAATCCCACCATAAAACAAATCATTAGCAATATGACCTATCAGGTAAAATATATAGGGTTGCTATAAGCCTTGGTCATATTAGCATGTTCGTTATATTTTATGAGGTGATGCTGACCTTGGGAATGAATACTAAAATTGCATCCACAAATCTTAGTCTCTAACCTAAGTGTAAACTCGAGTCAACCTTACTGACTCTTTAAAGTTGGATAATAACTTTAACAAATTAGAGTAAGTCAAATATTTTAAATAATCTACATACACAATTTTTTGCAAAACTCTCAAGTATTAATTACTGGCACATATATATATCATGTGCTGAATATCACAGAGATATGCTTTCTCCCCTCATTCATAATGCTCATAGGCACTAAAATGGGTGCATCTCATTGCAAGATAATTCTGGCAGCTTACCATGCTAAATGAGAGAAATGGCTATCAGTAGAGCAGGCCACAACCTCACAATTGATGGACCTGAATTCTTCTACTCTGTCACTGAAAGCTATAATCTCAGTTGGGCAGACAAATGTACTGAAACATAAAAACAAGGCATTCATACATGAAAAATGTCACTAATCTATTGCACATATTTACAAAATGTTATAGAAACTCAGACCAGAACACCAAATGCCAATTATGATAGTGGAATATCTGGAAAGAACATTTCCAAATGGATGTCTTGGCCATTAGGCATGAGTCCTGGTATTTTCCATGTCCGCACTATGTACATCTTCATTTAAGTATCTGATTTCACAATATTCATAGATACAGTGTAACATTAGAGAATGTAATTACTAGTTTATTCTTTAAAATGCTGTGTCATTGTACAAACAGGAAACACAATTTAAAACAATTAAAATGTAACTCACAAATCAAGTGGGTAGAAGAAAAACACAAGATATTTCCCCTTGTAGTCTGATAGTTTTATATCTTTGAAGTCCAGATCCACAACAGCAGTGCCGCTCCATTCAGGTGCTGGCTTTGTGAGTCTCAGTTGTGACATTGACATCTCTGTAGTGTGATCCTGAAAAGCATATAAAATTCTATAATTCACTGAATGAATCATATGTCAATATTGTGACATGCATTTATAATAGCACATAATGATTTCATTAAAATGTACTCAGCCTCTTCATTTCAATGAGTCAGCAGATTTTAACACACATGAAGTAGATTTTAAAAAACATGAAGCATCTGCCTGATTATTTCCTATGAAGACATTCTCGTGACAAAATGTCACTACACACTGTACTTGGTAAGTTATTGCAAATGATCACAATGGTTACAAAATTGCAACAATTTGTTAGATGCCAAATACCGTACTCCAGTCTTTCAAAATCAGTCGGTTTAAAACACTATATCTCAAGGGAAGAAATTGAGAATCACGAGTTCAAACTGTCTGATGTGATAATGGACATGTGTAGCTATAGTTGCATTGTAAAGTGTAACATATGTTATCTGGCAAATTTAATTGACATGTGGATAGCTTACAACTCATAATCACCTGATCACAATACAATGTAGTTTATTACCCTAAGTGCAGAGGTTAGTAAGTGCAGATGAAGCTCTCTTTTAAGAAAATTCAATATCAAAAGGTTTTAGATATTTTCAATGAAATTTATCTTTGGGGAGATTTTTGAAGTAATTTTGATGTGTAAAAGTTTACAATTAAATCTACTCTAGTTTTTGCCATCTATTAACAGTCCTTACGGCCATGAGCCATTAATGGGAGTGAGGAATAACTGCACTGTCATACATTTGTAATAAATATAAAATACATGTACAGTAATTAGTTTTCTGTTCAGTTGATAAGAATTTAGAGCAATATCATGTTCTTCAAAATGAGAACACAAAAAATAAACAAAATACAGGAAAACCTGCTAAGTGGAACACTTTTTCTGTTTTAAAAACCCAATTTCTAAATTCAAATTGAATCTGTATAAATTTGAATACTGAATGTTACACTATGTAAACCTGAACCAGTAGAAGACAATTTTCAAAAATCACTGTATTAACACCCTATGGTGATTTCTTGCCTGGAAACAACAGCAGAACTTGATAATTAGCACTGACATTTATTGGCAAGAAAAAACCCAATAAAACTTGATAATAATTATCAAACGAGTGGTCAGTTAGGATCCAGGTGGAATATACAGGGTGAGCCAGAAAAAGATAACCAAAACTCAATCATCCAGCATGGGTTGTCATATTAGGCATAATTGATCTTTGTTCAATCCTTGTTCCTTCTATATATAATTGATCTATGTTCTTGTTTGGGTTATCTTTTTGGCTCACCCTGTATATGCTATACCTGAATCCTTGTATTATTGACCACTTTCTTTCCAGGACATGAAAGAGAAGATAAAAAGGAGAAGTTACAAATGACTGACTTGATGATTGGGATGAAAAGAGTGACAGAAACCTTTAATGTATTGATTTGTATTTATTACTAAGTATGTCTATTGTGCAAATTCTTTGTGAAGTATACTTGACGGTATAAAAGCACAATGGGCAGCATCATAAGAAACACACCTTGGGAATATAGGATTCCAAATAATCATATAGATTTGAATGAATTCTGTAACTTATTAGTTTTTGGATGGAGGATTAACAAGTCAGATGAATGTATGGATGGAAGTGTTCTCTGTCTAGAAAATGATTTGTGTCCAGTGATAAAGGTTTACCAACAGATATGCATCTAATTCTGATTGTTAATTAGTGTAATAATAATACTATACTATCATTCCATTGAATAAAAACTGTGGTTACTTCACTAAATGAATTTACCATCAATCAACCAAACTCTTTGTAAGTATTCTGATTCCAATGCCATCATAACCTACTTTACTACAAGAGAAAGTGTGAACTTCACCTTATACATGTAATATATGTTTATTTTGTTGTTTGATAGACCACCTACAGCCATGGAGCCCATGGACGTTGTAAGCTGTTTTACTTTTCTTAAGTTGTCAATGGTTAGACTTATTATGACCTTCTAATAAAATGTGCATGCACAAATTGTTTTCAATATTTTTTGGAAGTTTCTCAATGAGAGTTTAAATCTATGCCTAAACTGGTTCAAGTTTCAAGCAAACTAACTATCCTGTCTCATGTTAAAGTTTGAGCTTCCAACACCTCTTATTATAAAATTGAGAGCCAACAGTAAGAAACTTTTTGATCGGCCCTTGTATAGTGGTGTCTCAGTCTCTTTCTGATTTGTCAGAGTTCCTCCTCATTTAATGCTTGTCTATCCCTTGGGTTTCCTCAGGGACAGAAAAATCATCAATTTTACCATGGGCTTTCTATATTTGACAAATAAGATTATGCAGAAACTGTTTTTTAACCCAGAATCATTGAGGTGACTCTTTAAATAGGCCTTTTGAGTTGATATGTATTTTAGGAACCTATCCCTAATAATAACAGAGAAATAAAATGTTTTTCAATTTTAGGAACCTATCCCTAATAATAACAGAGAAATAAAATGTTTTTCAATTTTAGGAACCTATCCCTAATAATAACAGAGAAATAAAATGTTTTTCAATTTTAGGAACCTATCCCTAATAATAACAGAGAAATAAAATGTTTTTCAATTTTAGGAACCTATCCCTAATAATAACAGAGAAATAAAATGTTTTTCAATTTTAGGAACCTATCCCTAATAATAACAGAGAAATAAAATGTTTTTCAATTTTAGGAACCTATCCCTAATAATAACAGAGAAATAAAATGTTTTTCAATATGATTCTAAAATATGAAGCTTTAGGTATTGACAAAATCCAATATAAGATGACCTTGTCCAGATCAAGAACTCTATGAGATTCTAGATGCAAAAATTAGTCTTAGGTTTCTGATCAATGTATTCTCAGTTAGACTACTAGTATAAGATTGAATATATTACCTTATCTATACACTCCAATGATTCCTTAGCCGTTTCAGGTATTAATAATGGCTTCTCTGGTTCAAATTTTTGCTGGTCCTTTTGGATGTTTAAGCTCTGTTGACACCAAGCCAGATAAGTATTATACATCAGTATAAATTACACACATATATACCATCATTGATTAGCTGTCTCATAAGTGGTTACTGACAGTATCTTCCTCTAGTATTAGCTTTATTAGTCTTCAAACATTTATGTGCGTGTCAAATGAATTCCCATTTCCACTTAGTGCATAAGACACTTATACTAATATCCTAGAACAATTTGTGTTACCTAACTGATTTGCTGGTCACAGATTTGTCAATGCAGCTTTGTACTAATGCATTTTTATATACAGCAATATAATGGGCTCATTTACTATACATCATTAAGTATTGTGTCTATGGCAACTATTGATTGATCCTATTCACTAACTTGGAAAACACTTCTATATAGAACACCAGCAGAGGAATTATCTGGTTCAGATATTAATTAAGAGCCTATAGCTATATACATGAATGTACAATATCTCATTCATTTCAAGAGAACCATCTATTGATTTGCTTAATATACACAATCTGTTATGTATTGTTCGTAAGACAATCTAAGAAAAATATTTTATTTAATATGATTGAAACATCATTGAATTCTAAAAACCTGTTAACAAGAACTCACATTTTGACACAAGCACATTAATTTGTTGATATTTTCTGTCCATATAATTTGAAATCTATTAATCAGTGCTATTAATATGTATTTTGATGAAATATGATTACATTTAGTCGTAACAATCAATGAATAAAAAAGTAGATTTCAAAAATACTTATGCTGCAATTTCTTGATACGTCGAAACTAAAAAATCTGGCATAATTATATGCAATTTGTTTTCAAGGGTTAATGCCATATAGCAAACTAAATGAGCACAGTAGACATGACTATTAAGAAACAGACAAAATAAATAATGACGATCTGGTGCACATGGTGACCCGCCGCGAATTGTTCCATAATGTTTTTAATACCAAAAACTAATCGCTTGACGGGTCTGACTCTGTATGTTTCCAGTTATAAATGAAAACAGGAAATGAAAACTAACTAGTTTGGCACAATACTTACAAAAAGCCCATCATGAGAAAGTAAGTATATTCAATCAGAAATGTAAAACCTGACCATTTTAGCCCTTGTTGAAACAATCCTAAATTTTCCGAAGTTTTCCCAGTCATTGGCAACTCTAATCTATTCAAATGCAACCAATGAATGAGTCGCTCTAAGTGATCAAAATTAAATTTTGAATGTAAAACTGCAGTACCTGATCAAGGACATCCTCGGTAATATCAACTTTAGTTGATGCACTATCTTGCTTACAAGGAAGACTTATACTTGCTAGCAAATCACTTGTAGGTTCTGTACTAATCTTTTTGGAGTCGTTAACTGAACTAAGAGTCTGACCAACTTTATGTTTGATGTAACGTGCACAATTTCCTTTAGATGTACAATTTTCAGATTTGTCCTGTACTATTCCAGACTTTTTTGTTTTGTCTATCTCATAGGGACTTTTATGAGATGTACTGTGCTCTTCTTGATCACTATGGCCATGAGGCTCTTCATGTATTGTCTCTAAGCTGAAACCTATCTGTACTGGGCTTGACTCTTCAGTATCATCACCATCTGCTAGATCATACACATGTTCATCCTCATGTTCAAATATAAATGCTGCATTATCATTCCCATGCTGAGCATTATCATTTCTAGCTTCTAGTTTCTTTTTAAGTTCATTATTCAATTGTTCGGTATATTCTGAGCTTAATGACCGCCTTAAATACTTTGCATTAATTGTGCCGTCATCACATAAATCAACTTTTCCTGTTTTACTTTCCACACACCCCATAATTAATAAATCAACAAAAATATTGTTCCGTTAAAGATAATGACATACTATGACATTATATGATTCTTGATAACTTATTTAATTTATTCTAAAGTACCTTAAGAAAACTAATTAGTAAGTGCATATGTAGTTCTTGATGTATGGAGGAAAGATGATGCTTCAGGCTTTGACATGCCAATAAAACTTAGTATATGTCACCAAATGAGTGATAAATGAACATGAAGTTATTAAATGACTCATTGCATACAATGAGTTACTTAAAGGGAATAAATGCCTATTATTGGGAAATTGAAGTTTTACTTTTGATCTTCATAGTATTTCCAATTGATTGATAAGTACCTGATCTTTCATTTGACACCAAAAACACCTCAAACAGACCACATCAGAGTTGTCACTAGATTATCAAAAAAATATTTTCAATCTATCAATTTATATATGTCAAGTTTTTAGCAATGCTAATGAAAGATGGCGAAGTTTTTTGCATGACATTATCCATTGATTTTGATAGAATTTTCAAACATACGCCATCTTTTAATCCAAGAGTTATTTAAAAGATCCACTTTGTGAAAAGTGGTAATTCACTTTTTTGGATCTCTGAACTTCAAATGCTGTTTTCTATGCGAGTAATTTTTTTTTCACTTCAGTATTATCCCAAATTAAAGTTTTAATCATATTTGATTGAGTGTGTGAGTAACATGTCTCAAATAATATTTCATCATTTTTTCTTCAAAAATAGGCATGTTGCCTGTTTAACTAAAATAAAAACACATTTATCTGAACATGACTTTACCAATTTGAACTGAAAAATCTTAAAGGCCTAAATTACAACTTGGCTTATATTCGAATGATATCAGAAGTTATCAAAGTTGAGATAATCTTGATCAATATAACATTGACCATTATATCAAGTCACCTAATCATGGTTTGCCAAGGGTCCCAGCAGCCCCAAGGCTTCCTAGTCAACTCGTACCCAAGACAACTCGTACCCAAGACAACTCGTACCCAAGCTTATTTTCAGTATTATGGGTGCATATTAGGGAAGAAATTGAGTTTGTAATGCTTTCATTTTATAAGGTGAATCAAATAAGCCTCAATATTTTTTTGAATTTAGACGACATTTTTTCTCAATGGATCAGTAAAGCATTTTTTTATTAAATAAAAGAAGTGCTTGAAGCGCTTGTTCTCAAAATTTTTTTGTCAAACATATATATAAATAAATATAATTACAACGTTAGATCTGACACTTGTTCCAAACACTCATAAACATACAATATTTTGAAAAATGATTATAAACATATGTCTCTTCACTTGAACATCCTGAATCTGTGACCAATATAAAATAATAGTCAATATAAATTGACACTCAGCTCAAAATGTCATAAAATTAAAGGTTGAATAAATAGTGCAGAGACGTATCCAACGATCATGGTCCTGGTGTCAAAATATATCGAATTTTGAATATTTCATCAAGGCTAACATCTATTTTCATTAGCTACAAAGAAAAACCCCGAACGTACCTAATTTCTGCCGATATTCACAATCACTGGGATCCTAAATCCCCGGGAATCTTCTCCCGACATCGACAGAAAAAATGCTCACGTACCTTTTAATGATTTCCCGGTTATATTGTCATTGGATTCCAGCCCCGTTTTCACCTAACGTTCTATCCAACATTCTGTTTCCTTTATACCATGCGCGTGTCAAGAAGACCTTGAATATGGGCAGATTTGAGGTGTTTTAGTCTTAGATTTTTTTTGATTTTTCTTCGTCAGTGGATGAGATTAACTGCAAGAGTCGCCGGTAATAGACCGTCAACGGCGGTCATATCGGGTACCATGCATACGGTTATATCAGACAACCGCGGTTATACTGTAGCATGCGGTCTTACCTATCTCAGCTGCAGCAAGAATTTTAAATAGCGGAGATTTAGAAATGTTTCAAAAAACAAATTGAGGGACGTCCAACCTTTCAATTGCTTATTTAGACGTCTATTTGCAAGTCTGATTGGTGGTATTCGTCGACAAGTGCATATATTTTAAGAAAATAGGTATGGCGAAGAAGACATTAGGCCAAACGTTGCACTAATAGCTCGGGAAAGGTAAAATGACTCCTAAATTTCTTCTATAGTCTTTATTCAACCTTTAAATAAATTTCTTCCGAAAATTCTTCTTCAAACTTTAAACTATTCTGAACAGTATGTTACAATTATAATATGTATATCTATTCACATTCCCAGTCCAATGGTTGATTCAAAACAAAATATATACTTGGGTACGAGTTGTCTTGGGTACGAGTTGTCTTGGGTACGACTTGTCTTGGGTACGAGTTGACCAGTTACCGCCCCAAGGGTCTTAAAACACCTTATACTAGATATTGATATTTGACCTTGGAATGACCTTTGCTTCAAGTCACCTAATCATGGGTCACCAAGGGTCACAACAGTTCCCAAGATCCTTAAAATGCCAAATACTTAGATACTGACCTTTGACCTTGAGTTGACCTTGAGATGACCTTAAGCCATAAACACTGACCTTGATCAAGGGTCGCAGCAGCCCAAAGGCCCCCTTTGACCTTGGATTGACTTTGACCTCAGGTCACCTAATAATGAGTCGTCAAGGGTCACAGCACAGACCAAGGGTCTTTAAAAGCCTTAAATACCTAGATATTGACATTTTACCTTGGAATGACCTTGACCTCTGACCTTTGTAGAATGCCAACCAACCCACTTAGTATGTTGATCAGGTATAAAGGCCCAAGATCAAACCGTCTAGATGTCCGGACAGACAGAATGACAGACATACCACCATGATTTATAGTATCAAGATAAATCAATTTGACCCACATTTTTCAAGTGTGGCCCACTTTCTTTCGATAAACTGGGCCATGTGACCCACAAATTGCTGAGGCTACCACCAGTACTGCTTTTGCTATTGTAAATGCCTCAGACAAGTTTTAAACCAAAATAATGATATGTTGACAATAAAACAATAAATTGTACACGGCTTTTAAGAATTACCATTGTCAAGTTTTTATTGGCAATAATCATAAGAATCTAGCACCTGCAAATTCTGACATTAATTTTAACAAAAATGATAACATTTTGATATGACTCATTCTAAAAGTGGCCTTAAATTACATTGTTAAATGCATTAATGAGTGACATAATGAGCTACTACAGTGTTTATATAACAGTTCTTCATAGTTTCTTTCTTTATTAGAGATGCACTATATCATCATGTAAAGTCGAACATAACTGGAATTAAATTACATCTAGACCAAGAGCAACACAGAGGACATTTGATCGAACATCTAATGTAGACAACATGGCTACAAATCATTTCTCAAATTGGTAAAAGAGGTCAATCTTACATGTATTCACATATAAAATATCAACATTTAAATTTGACAGATTGAAAAAATCCACCAAATTAAAATCTACCTATTTTCAGATCCAATTTTGGGAAATCCCCAGAGATTTTGTAATTTGCAATCATTTCACTTGTGTAAGTATTCCTATTTGGATGTCAGTGCTATACTAAGACTTACTGTAAGTACAGTAAAATTTAAATGTTTGGAACAACTTTGAATTTAAAAAATAAGCAATCAAATGACTATATTGCAACAGTATATGAAAAAATGGAAATATACATGTATGTACATGTACAAAAGTCCAAACTTTTGTGTATTTCAGATAGTTATGTATAATGTGCAGCAAAGCTGTGTAATTTAGGGAGTTTCAGCCATGTTAATTTTTTTCGAAAATAACATGGCAGAGAAGCATCAAAATATAAGAGGCCACAGATATGATAGCTAAACTACAAAACAAACTAAAATATACAAAAATTAGGACATGTATAAATGTATAGCGGAAGTAAACAATTCTTACCAAATGAAGAGATATTTCTAAATATATGAATAAATCATGAAGATTGAAGTAATGGTGTTGAACTGTTTTTCGTAACACTGGTTTAAAAGATGGTGGGTGCATAGTTTAGCTATTTAGGACAATCGTGCGATGATTAGGACCGTGCAATAATAAGACCAATAAACAAAGAAACAATAACGACGGTTTATTAGGCTACGCGATTCTTTACTTTCATTGGCTGTTTGTTGCAATGTGACGTAATTTGAGAGACGAACAACATCGGACACTGCCGGAAATTACCGAAGTGCTCCATTATCTTTACGCTCTGAAAATTTGAAATAAATGTCCCAGGAAAAGTCGAATTACAGGGTCAATAATGAATATCATGCAACCATTCAAACTAATACATAAAGAAGAGATTACAGGGTAAATGTTGATCAATCAATGTCTGACAGATGGAAAAAATAAAGGTCAGTACGAGGGTCATATTTTTGGGTGGTCATTTTTTTGATGTGCCATTTTTGGCTCGTGTCTCATCTTCCCATTTATCCTTTGAGCCTACTACCAACAGGGGCTGGATTTGGCTCCGGATCTGTGGCTGGCACGTGTCATGTTGCATTCTGGGAGCCAATCCACATTGCGGCGGAATCAGGCTCAAAAATCACCTCAACATTTGAAGAGTCGGCAATGTGAATATACTCCTTGTTAACTGTTAAAAATAATAAGAACATAACTTCGGAATATGAGTGTTACCTGATGAATGGGACCCTCACGTGCCTTCTAAATGGTAGTAAACGAACGCTAGTGTAACTACATCAGCTTATCTTTCCGTCCGATCAAGAATAAGTACAGTTATACAAGAAATGTAAACGAAGTGAAAATATTTCCAAAACTTTTCCGAAAGGCAAGGAGGATTGGCTCCCAGAGTGCAACATCGATATTCTGTCCCATATATGGGCATGTCGTGATACAAAATTTGAATTCAAACAGCCACCATTTTGTTCACTTCAGCATTTGAATCGTGAATTTTGGTCTTGTTTCCGAACGAAAAATTCCAAAACTCAGGAGAAATGATCGAGATATTGGTTCGAATCTTTTGGACTGTTTATTTTGAATTTATAGTTGGTTATAATTTCAGAAAATAACGACATTTCGACGATTTCATTGTTGGAAAATATCGAGTTTCGATCCTGGGAGCCAATCCTCCTTGCCGAAAGGCATGTCATTTCCATTTATGATACGTTATATTACCGAACATGCGTGAAAATGGAACTTTTGTTCGTTCATTTTACGAGAGCTAAATAAAATGCGAACATCCAAGCATCGGGTATGACTCCACCATTGTTTGCCGTTTTACTACTTGCCACAATCAACCTCACTGCCAGCATATCAAACAAGGCCCATTTTCCATCAAACTTGGCCCAACAACTATCAATTGGATGTCCTTGAAAAATCAAGTTGACATGGTAAAAGTAAAACTTCGAAAAAGCACTATTTTTTACTTTTGAATCACCTATTATCGCCCAAATGGCTATATTTTTTTCAAGGTCAAGGTCGCCATGCTAAAAGTTGAATTACGGAGATAAATCTGCTCTTCAGACAATGTTTGATAGCTTTTCTTCACCACGGAACAAAGATCTTTGCGCTGGTATGCCCATTTCCATGAGATAATATACGTGAAGGAGGAACTGTTTCTTTAAATTTCATCAAAACTTTATGCCAACCCGTGAAAAGGCCATTTTCGCACTACTTTTGGTGTAATAATGCCATCAAAAAAACATTCCATTTAAACCCATGTTCGGTAATATAAGGTGTTATTACGGTAAATATCACTTCCGGGTAGGAAGTGTTTTTTATTAATACTTTAAAAACGAAGCAATGCCAACTTCAGTGGTGTGTATAGTAGGTGTAAGTGTATGTACTGTGGCCATTTGAGGTATGTATGTAAAGCTGAGGCCAAGTACTTTCTAAATGTGCCATTTTTAGCAAAAAAATCTCAAGAATATGGTCCCCTAAACAGGAACTACTTTATTCGTTAATTTTCATCGGGGAAGCAGGGATTTTACCTAAAAATGAGTCCCTATGTTGGCGTAGCGATATTTAAAAATCGAGACACAAACCCTATGTTAAATATAGTGTCAAGATGAAGGTTATGTATAGGGGATTGCAAAAATATAGTCATTGTATGGGCTAATTCTTTTTGAGATATCAGCGTCCATTTATTGTAACTCGCGTTTGCTACCATTTCCTCAATTCTGAGATGATGGGCAAACGCGTAGTAAACATGCTCACGCCGGAACTATTTTGACCTGCATCGCTATTTTCGTAATTCAAATGAAAGTTGAACTCCTCCTCTTTATTTTGATACCAAATAGAGGCATACTAGGTACCCTAGAAGCCACCTATGGCGTTATTTAGAACAAAACCACAAATTTTTAAATGGACTATATCGGGTCATACCTTTTGGCGGATGGATATGGAACCTCACACCAGAACTTGAATTTTGTGATTTTTTCAATATTTTTCAATGATTTACCGTAGTGACACCATAACGTATCATAACTTCCGGATTGACATGCCTTTCGGAAAAGTTTTGGAAATATTTTCACTTCGTTTACATTTCTTGTATAACTGTACTTATTCTTTGTCGGACGGAAAGATAAGCTGATGTAGTTACACTAGCGTTCTTTTACTACCATATAGAAGGCACGTGAGGGTCCCATTCATCAGGTAACACTCATATGTCGAAGTTATGTTCTTATTATTTTTAACAGTTAACAAGGAGTACACTTCAAATTTTAAAGTTCTTATTTGTCATTATTGACACAAATTCCACTATATCTGGACTTACTAGGACAGAGAAAATAGAGCACTGAATACACTGAGGTAAGAATTTATTACATGTGCGACAGCATGGATAGCTTTTGTAATTCTTTATGTTCCCCACTGTAAGTATTCCTCATATTAATTTTTAAAACCTTACCTACACCAAACCCACATCATCGTTTTTGCTTCATATCAGTTAGAAAAGTGACACCGTACATCTAAAGTGTACGACGGTATATTTTGTCACTGAACGTTGTCGATGGTTAGGCAACATAAAGAATGAAAGTTGCATAATTTTTTAGAGTAAAGACCATGGGCTATGGTAAGACCGAGACGATAGATCAACTTCCCGTGACCACATCATTTCGATAAATTACATATAAATACATATGTATTAGCCATTCCAAATATTTTACAAGGAAACTTCGAATATTACTTACCCTCTCGAAAATTCTGCAAAAAACAGCACGCCTTGTTGCTCGGCTTCTGTATTTACTTGAAGATGTACAAATTGGTACTCACAAATAAATTAGATAAATTCGAGATCACGTTTTCTGTTATATAATGGGAAAATTGTGTTATTTCGTTATACTAAGCTATATTGTATTAAATAGATAAATATGTATTGGACCTGGAATGTATAAGAATCAAAACAAAACACAAAGTGAACTACCAAACTGTACATTTCGCAAGTGAGTCGATTTTACAAAAAGTCGCACAAAGCAGCTCGATTGATTGAATGTCGTATGTTTTGTGTATCTTAACGTCATATTTGGCGTTAATTGTGGAAATAACCTGAAAGGTAATTAAATAAGTTACAAATATATCGAGAACCCATGGCAATGAAATCGGTGGAGAGGCAACGCATGATATAAACGCATTTGCTTCGACCAGTATGTGGGTGATAATTGAGTCAGTGAGCCTGTATTACAATTTACATGTAGGCCTACATCACTTCTACCATATACATACATGTCCATCTGCAGCCAAATACGCTCATACTAAGTAGTTTTGTTCACAGCATTGAGATGATGATGACTGAACTATGATGGAAGTATGTTCTCATCGAAAGGTATCATGGGAAACATCTTTTATTTTGCACATGCGTAGGAATGAACTGAATCAGTAGATCTAACTGAACCGAATCAGTTGTAGATTGCCCTTACTCCTTCTAGGCTACATGGCCTCAGCCCAGATTAGCTTGCCATGTGTTGCCAGTTATTTGAACATCATCAATTCTAAACTTAGACATGGAAGCCCCGCCTCAAGTGACTTTTTTTTTACTATAGGAGTTTTGATAGGGTCACTCTGGTGTCATGACAAATCTCAGATATATAAATAAAACCCCAAAGGTGCATTAATGCACCTATTCTAAACTATGGTACATGTATATAAATACTGTTTCAATTATATGTTATCCAGACTTTATGATAACATTCAGAAAACTTTTACTCCTTGAAGACTGATGGAAAAATAAAATGTAAATGAATCTAGAAGCAAGAAAATGAAGCAAGACACAATAAGTTATATATCATTTTGAAGGGCTGGACCCATACTTTATGTTTTTGGAAAAAAAATTGAAGATGCAAATGAGATGGTGTCATTGTGATGTCATAATTCAAGATAACGCATTTGGATTTTTTACAAAATATAATTATTTCATTGAGAATTCAATTTAAAAATCTGAAAACACAGAATTATAGATCTTTTTATGGAAATTGCAAAAAATTGTCATTGATTGTGACAGTGGCATGGCTCAGATTTGGTAAATCTCCTCCAATCCCAGCCTAACATTGTAGTTAAAGTGTTGCATGGATTGTTTCTCCAATGACTCTATTTTCGAACTTTGCATGAAGGTCCATTCAAAGTCACCTATTGAACCTTGAAAAGCCTCATGAAGACTGAGGATTGGAAGTTGTATATGACAACTTTCAGCTCATCTTTATTACGATAGATCGGAAGTGAATTTTCAAGTCGAGTAAATGGTGATAATCATGATAATGTTCTTTTTATGAAATGGGGAAGTCAAAACATTACTAATATAAATCATAGTAAGCAATATTTTGTCACTTGTATCTCCCAGGATTCCTTTAAACATCAGGAACCAATTTGCTTTGTGAGATTCTAAGTTGGCCATTGCTCAGGGCTTGCATTAACGGCATCCCGTACATGTTAAGGAATCAAAAATAATTTGGAGGATGCAAAAATTGAAAATATTTCCGTTTTTTGGACGCAAATTTTTTTTGAGAGATCATAATTATTTGTTTTTGTTAGGTATCGTTGTAAACACATTGTACAGGGTGGTCCAAAAAAAATTGGAACATTTGTTAATTGAACACAAAACCTTTATTTTTCGTCTGAAATGCACCAAAATTTGACTGAGCATAGTTCGATCACTTATCTCTCTGATGTTAAGTTTATAGGTGCAAGCCACAAAGTTAAAGCATTAAACTAGTCAATGTTTGATATTACCCCCTTTTCTCAAATATACACTTGTCAATTTCGCCACTACTTTTTCAAGTTTTCTCTATTTCAACGCTTTAATGAACATGTTGATTGCTATACACATTTTATAAAATCATATTTAGTTGACAAGAGGTATTAACATCTATGGTTTACTAAAAAACTATTGTGTTATTGTTAACTTAAGAATACCCCAAATCATTATTTTTATTTAAGAGTAGGAAAGAAAGAACATGTAAGAGGTGAGTGATTGCACAACCCATACAGCTACTAAAGTGACAAAATCATTGTTTCCACTTTTCAGTAAAGGGGAAACTGACCAGTTATTTACAAGGCTTTATTCAAAACCACCTCTAAGTACATATACTATATCATTTGTGTTCTGGGAAACTCCTAATATGATATTGATATACATATATTGATGTATTCAATGAATATTATCCATATTAGAACAAGAAAGGGGGAGGGGGACTCATTTACCAGTCAAAACAGACTGCCCTGGCCTCTTTCTTGAGAATATTCAATCAGTAATACACCTAACAATAGCCATCAAACCATGCTTGATACCCATCAATTTAGGTAAAAAATGTTGAATGTGTTCACATATTTGATCTTCCAAGGCAAACATATACAGTAAGTAGTTTGTTCAAGCTGAATTTTTTAATCAAGATGGCTTGGACAAAATCAAATGAACAGCAAAGTGAATGAATAATTTCAAAACTGAGTTCCAGGCTTCAACTTGTAATTCAGGAGTTTAGGGGTCATATCAAACATTGTCTAGTTTAATGCATTAACTTTGTTGTTTGCACCCATAAACTTTACATCAGATAAATAAGTGACCGAACTATGCTCAGTTAAAGTTTGGTGCATTTTAGAAGAAAAATAAAGGTTTTGCGTTCAATTATCAAATGTTCCATTTTTTTTTGGACCACCCTGTACAATGTGTTTACAACGATACCTAACAAAAACAAATAATTATGATCTCTCACCTTTATTTGAATCGTAAATAAGGCTCAACATGTTGAATATTTACAAATAATCATGATTCTCTCGAATTTTTTCGACTTTGTTTATTTTTAGATTTGAAACCATGACACGCCACAGTTTTTCCTATTCAGAAACAAATATTAGGTTATTCATGAAATAAAATGTATTCATTGTCGAATGAACGAACATGCATTTATTCAGTCTGTACTTAACGTTTACTTCCGTTTTAAATTCGCGGCAAGAAATCAAAAACTGAAAGGTGTTTTGGTAAAAAATGCTTTTAAAATAAAGTTATACCTCAAAACAGGCTAGAAATAGTGGACACACTTTTTTTTCAAAGGACACACTTTTTAAAAAAAATTGCGTCCTTGGGACTCACAAATTTTCTAACCTAATGCAAGCGCAAATTGCTGTACCAGTTTTCATTATTTTTTTCAAATCATTAAATTCTTATGTTTTATCAGCGAACATATAGTTGATGCTCTTGATGCTCAATAAAAATAACGTTGTATAGATTTGCTTCAGATATTTCTAAGATTTTTAGGTTCACCTTAGGTATATTTTTAGGTTTGTTTAGGCTCGAACCTAAAACGAACCTTAACGTTTTGATTGTTAATATAGTCTCCAGCTAATTAATGTGACTGTTTTTTTTAAGATATGGAACAAGACACACATGTCCAAAATCAACAAATAAAAAGATTAACTATAACAGTTGAAGTTATTTCAGAATATCTATAGTAACACTAATTCTAGTTCATGTTTTATAGGTACTTAAAATGGCATCATCAAAGAGAAAAATGAGAATGACAGACTCTTCAACTCCAACAACCCTTCAGTTGCCAGATGATGTCAAACAGAAGTTCTCAGAATGCATGAAAAATAAAGATTTGAATCTTAGATCTAACTTAGAGGTTCTATCTTACCTATTAGAGCTACATGAAGAAAAGTATGTTGTACACTGAACAGAGTGCAGTAAATGTAGTTCAATTATACACCTGTACATTATTCTTACAATTATGATTAGAATGGTAACCTGGTCCTTGATGGAAACATTTTCTTTTCACCCCATTCATTTACTAGAGTTAAAGCACCTTAGCCTCAGCCTTGTCAACTATTTGCATCAGTATGAGCTGGGCTCTTGACTCAATATTAAAGTAGTATTTAAAGGTGCACAACTGAAAGAGTAATTTAAACATAAAGGAATCAATTCTATTTAATAATGATCATCTCACCAGTAATGTAACCAGTAACTAATTGTGTGCAAGATGTGGTGACTTTTGTAAATACTTTTAAGTATTTGTTATTTTTAGCATGCAGTATTTTGATGCGGATAATAAGAAACTTGATGCAAAGAAAACAACTTTGACTATGGAAGAGAAAAGTGATACAGGTATTTTATATGATATATGCACTACTTTGCCCCAATTATCAGATTATTGCAACTTTGCCCCAATATATTATTGCTTAATGTCAAGTGGAAATAACACATATTTCAATATTCTACATGCAGAGCCCTGCAATCCAGATTTTAGTATACTTAATTTTGACTGAATACATTTTCAGAGTGCAAAGCTTTGTTGGATGAGTATGAACATACTGAGCTAATAGAAGAACGGGACTCTGTTTTTTGGACAGAAGCAAATGCGTTACGGCTAAAGGGAAAACTCTGTGATATAACTATATCTGTGTTGGGTATGTATCATTTCTGTTCATTATCAAATTTTTAGATATCAAATACATGTATGAAGATCATTGATAAGTAACTTGATTGTATTAAAGCCTTATTTTGATACACAACAATTTTATTACTATGGAGCACTAAACCTGAAAATGCCATTTTATCTGTGGAATATTTATATTAGTTTTATATTATATTGTCATTAAAAACAGAGGCATTTTATATTATACTTAAATAACAAAATACAGTTATATATATATGGGTTTTGAAGCTGAGAGTCATTAACTTGCAAAATACTTCATTGACGAGATCCATGTCTACCAATACTATAGTAGCAGATAGAATAGGTTGGTCCTTTGGTCTTTACAAGTCTATGGATAGAAGACAGGGTGGTCAGGGAACAAAGACTTGATACATGTACAGTTACTCATGCTCTTCCACAGTGAATTATGTTTACCCTTTGTCATTTTATCCATTCTGTATAGAAATACATGTAGTATAAATAATGATTGTTTTCAGGGAATGGGAAAGATCCCAAACAACATGTTGAGTTTAAACTACACAAATTGATATTAGTACATGCCAGTGCTCAGTTCAAAGCTTTCTGCCAAGAGAACGTCTTAAAAGATCACTATGAAATGCCCTGGCTAAGCAGTGAAGGCATGAATCTGGTTCTGCAACATATTTATCGTCAACCTATCTATACTAGGAACCCTGAAATTATTAATAAGGGCCTAGCAGCTGCAGAAATGCTTGAGATCAGTTCTGCCAAAAATACATTTAAGGTAACCAATCTTATCTTATTTTAAATCTGTTTTGGGTATTTGTCTGCTGTGTGCAAAGTTTGAGAATATTTCTATTTTTATCCAAATGTTATTTCTTATGGCTTAGTTTAAGATTTGATTATTTTAATTGTTGGAAATCTTCAAAAAGAGTTCATTTCAAAATACAGGGTGGTCCAAAAAATGAACCCTTGAAACAAGCTATATCTCAGTTATAACTTGCATTTATGGGCTAATATTCTCACATGTTTCAGAGAAGGGTCTTAAAGTTTTTGTGGGTATCATAAAGGTTACTCAGTCTAAGGTCTTGCATAAGTTAGTTCCTCTAAAATATGTGAGAATATCAGCCCATTTATGCAAATGATAACTAAGATATAGTTTGTTGCAAGGGCTCACTTTTTGGACCACTCTGTATATGAATTTTAACATTCAACTTAAATATTTTCTGAGCAACATCAGATGAATTTAATAAAAGTACTATATTTGAACCATTAAATTTTATTTTCTTAATGCATAAACAGTACCTTTTATATAGGATTTAGAGAAAACCATAAACTGCCCTTATGTATGTATAGCATGATACTTTATCCAAGAATCGCAGATTCAGATTATAACACATGCGATTTTTATGATTTCAGGTCCTCCTAAACAAAGTTCAAGACAAACCTGTTACTGAGTCAAATGAGATATCAAATAATAGAAAAAGGACCACTAAATCAAAACACGCAATTGGAGTAAAAATGCTTAAAGTGAAGATGAAAAGGCTTGAAATAATATCAAGTGTTTCTTCAGGTTTGGAGTCGTCATCTTCTAGGTCGCGTGGAAAATTAAGGAAAGTTATATCAGAAGGAACAAAGAATCAGAATCCAATGGATTCAAATTGTTTGCCAGATTTAAGTAGACATGAAGAAACATCAACATCTCCACACAAATCTAAGGCTGTATTTTCAGGAGAAATGGTGCGAATTAAGTTAAAACCTGGTAGGAATCTGCAAGCTAAATCTACAGGTTCCCATAGTGATAAACAACAAGCACATTCGTCCACACCTGTTGAACATGCCTCCCCCTTAAATAAGCGAAAGAGGTCACTAGTATCACAAAACAAAGCAGAAAAAATGGAGTTGAAAGAAATTAAAGCAGAAAAAAATGTTGAACAGAGTCATGTTCAAAGTTTAACTGAAGCAGACCTTTCTAGCATTGTTTCATCTGCTATGAAGACAGCAAAGGCAGATTTCCAAAAACTAATTGAAATTGAAACTCCGACAACTCAAGACTCAGAATCATGTAATATTAATCTTGTAAAATGTGAACCTAAAGATAGCGAAGCAGATTCCAATATCCTCAGTGAACCTAACAAGGACCCAAAAACTCATTATCAATGTTCATGCTGCAAAAAGTTATTCTCTTTAACAGGCCCATGGGCTATTCATATAGCATCAATGATGGAGTGTGGATTGTGTGACTTCAAGACCTGCAAGGTGGATAGTTGGCGTGAACATTTCATTGTAAATCATAATATAAAGTCCAACTCTGATGACAAAACAAAGTGCTACAAATGTAATAAGATATTTCCTAATAAAGGAGAATGTACAAAACACGAGGCTGGACAATGTGCTTTACATCTTCGTTGCGGACTTTGTAGTGATATTGCTCTCCATCACAGCAGCCCAGCAGATCTGATAAACCATTTTAAAGAGATTCACAGAGAATTAACAACCCGGTTATACAAGTGTAAAGCATGTGCAAAATGTTTCTCAACAGAGAAGGTTCTTATTTTGCATCAGAAGTTCACGTGTAATGATATGAATGGTGCAAAAAAGAAATATTTCAGTCCTCGAAGTCCCAGTCAAACATGCCCGAAGAGTACACTCGAGAAATATCGAGATTTCATTTCAACAAATTCAACGGGTTGTCCAACTAGTAAAAAACCAGACCATCCAATATTAGTTGTAGAGTCGTTGGGCAAAGTGTTTGCTCATATTACTATACATAGTCGGCAGCAAAATGAAACAAAAACATACATCCACAGACCATTTGGTTGTATGGCATGTGGCCTCACATTTAGGTATCTAGGGAGTTTGTTCACACATATCCTCGGCAAGCATGATGTGAATTTTACAAGTCATTGTAAACTTGACTTTATGAAATATTTGGAGAATATGGGCTTGCCGAATGATTGTTACAAAAATTTGAACCATTCTTAATGTTCAAAATTATCTTGGAATAAAGTGATAATATTCTTCCATTAGATGATCTCATGTTGAATTTTGATTATAAGAAGTGTCAGTTGTTTGATATCAATCCAAAAGGTAATCATTCATATTCAAATTCCTTCCAAACAATCTCAAAAATAACTAATTTTCTGTTGCTTTTGGTATAACACTAATTGCAACTAGAAAAGTACATTCCACCAGTATGTACAATGTAGTACAATGTCCCATTTATTGTGTTTAGCGAGGTGTTCGAAATGACTCTTTCATTCCTGAAAAATTGGCCTGAAAATTGACACCCGAAGGGTATGTTTTATCCATTAACATGGCAACCACTTAACCATGTGACTTGAAGTTGTTATCATATATTTAGTTAGCCTATACCAATATACCATAGCAATTTGGAAACATTCTAATGAGTATTTTTGGAGTTCTAGCCCAATTTTATAGTAGGGGTCCAAATTATAGCCCATGGGGGGTAAAATGGCCACAAAATCTAAAAGCTGAAAAACTAAGATCTAGTAATCCATAAAAATATGTAAAATCATACAAGCAGCATAAAAAAATATGTCCCATAAAATCCCTCTGAACGCACGCTCAAACCCTCTTTCTGACTGCACTATGATTTTTATATGACATTCACAGAATTCATGTACATGTACACAGTGTATGCCCTAAGGATTCCAGAGCTGCTGGTCAAAAAGGCATTACTGACCAGTTGCAATGTTATTTTCCTATACCTAGTTGAAAAATCAACTGGTCAGTATCAAAAGTAACCAGATAATGACCAGCTGTCCGACGCTTAAGGCATGCCCTGCATGTACATCAAGATGCATGTAATACCATTCCTTGGACTTTAAGAATTTTGCAGTAAGTTGATATGACACTATCAATCTGCAGGGGCGTATCTGGGAACCAATAAGGGGAGGGCCATATTTCAAGTCTGAAAAGTCAAGAGGTGGACCCATATTTTGAAAGTGTAGCCTAAGGTCCATTTTCTTGATAATTTGTCCTTCAAAAATAAGGACTAAAAGGCCCAGTTAAATGCCCAAAAGACCCCCTAATTATGAGTCCCTAATTAAATTGGGTCCAATTGACCCCCCCCCCCCCAGATCTGTCAATCGTCTAATGGGTGACATTGGATCTTAAAGCTCTCACTAAAATTATATCTAACATTAATGAATATACATAGCCTCTCATCCTATCAAATGTAGCCTTATGTGGCTTACATTACAGGCTTTAACTAAAGAAACTCAAACACGCCATGGGCTTCAAATTGAGAAGCTCAAACAGATTTCATATCAATAGAGCAAGCCACACAAAGTTCAAGTTAAGAGAGAAAGCCACATGGAGTTCATGAACAATGAAACATTCGTGCATTTGCAATATGTGATAAGCAATAGGTACTTCGTCCATCAACGCGAACATCAGTTCTGACGTCGCGAACTACGTTTCTTGCACTCGAACCACTTGTACATAGTGGTTCGTGAGCACAGATCTCTGTGCGTGAGAACGAGAAGAGAAATATGTTCGCACGACTAAATATTTTACGTTCTCGATATGAAAATCGTGGTTCGAGCGCAAGGAATGTAGTACGGGACGTCAGGACTGATGTTTGCGGTCGTGGAAGTCTATAAGCCCTGAACAAGACATTGAAATGCAAAATGCCACAACCTGCCATTTGTTACAGACGCCAAACTTATTTATAACAATGTCACCACTTTTGATGGTACATAAAAACTGCTTCGCTGATGCCGACATGAGAGACAACAGAAACGCCTTTTAGCTAGCATCTTTATATTTGTTTAACCCTCAAAACGATTATGAGGATCTGCCCCCCTCAAGGAATCTTATCGATAACTTTTTTCGTAGTTTGTCTTGATCTGAGACTTTCTGGCTTTTCTCAAAATTGAATTAAGCCGTTTTGCACGCCGTATTTAAGCGCCATCAAAGCGCCGTTGGTGTGAATTTAATTAGCTTAAAGGAGTTGCGTTGCTTCCAGTTTCAATGTTCTAGTGTACCGTGGCGATGCTGTGCAATATCCCCGCCTCTCATATCTGCTCAGTCATGCGTATTAAAGTGATGTTGGCTCAGTGCAGTGATGTATGTGGTAAGTTCATAGTTTGTTTCAATTTGGACATCCAATGTCATTGCAACTGGATTTTCCCTCAATGTCTTACCCTATGTCATTATGTTACGATTAATAATGTTTTGATGGTTGAAACGAAAGACCAACCGTGGGCAGGACCGTCCCCCAGACTTAATTGTCATACCGTATACAGGCCCGTAGCCAGGGGTGCTTGAACGACCCCCCCCCCCTTTTCCTAAAAAGTGTGGTCCTATACTGTACCTTTCTAGTTTTCTTAATTAAAGGAAAACTTGCTCTTCCCCACATAAATTGGAGAAAGAGTCGAAGGCATGCAAGGCGAATCCTGGAAACCCGGGTTCGGGAAAGCAGGGTTCACTGTTTGTTTCCGTTGACAACTGTGCGAAACTACATTCATAATTCATAAGACAGTGAACAGGAGGTTTACAGTCAGACCCGGGTGCGCCAATCCCTTATTTAAATGTGTGTTTCGCGGACCAGGGTTTAAGGTCATTCAAAACGAAATAAGTGTTTAATGAGGCCACGAAATATAAAATTTCGTTTTATTAGAATTTTATACGTGTTATTTTTTATCTAACAAGACGTTAAACATATTAGAAAAAGTTATGTATTATGATTGGTCTAAAATGTGCAAAGCTAGAAGACCCCTTATATTCGATCGTTCTCTATTTTGACTAAGATAATGTATCAGGTCAACGGCTACTAAAGCAAGGAAAATTGACCAGTAGAGATGAGGAACTTGACATACTATTTTTATTCATAAATATGGATAATATTTGATTTAAATACAATTACGAGCTATTACCATCCTCCAGTGTTGACAATTTCTGTTGTGTCAGTCTGGGCCAAAATCTTACAATATTACAATTGATAACAAGGATCTTCAAATAAAAGCAATTAAATCCAGGTTTGAAAACTCCCGAAAATAACACGAATGACTCTAATTATGAACCGTTCACATTTTTGCAAAGGCGGATTTGGATGACGGCAAACCCGGGTTTTGAGGGCGCATCATACAAGACACTTTATAATATATATCTTTTATTGACTCTTTAGATGTCATATCATGACATATTAGTCACTAAGGTAGAGCAGTTCTTCCCATTGTCGAGTTGAAGAACTGGTATCTTTATCCTGGCTAGAACCATAGACAATTCTAGCCAGCGCCAGCCTTTTATCGAGTTAGCAGCACTCTAGTAATCGCCGGTATAGGTCAGCAGTCATAGGTCAATATCCCTATGCGCAAAACATCTCGTTAAAAGTCCGTTGTAGTTAAGTCAACATATCCATAGTTAAGAGTTAATTACGAGGAACCCTTCTAATAAAAACAATGAAAATTCTGGTTTGAAAAGTATCGAAAATAACACGAACGAGTCAAATAATGCACCGTTCGTTTTTTTGCAAAGGCGGGTTTGGATGACGGCAAACCCGGGTTTTGAGGGCGCGACTTATGGCAACGAGTGCTTCTGATAAATTGGGCAACTTAGATTCAAAAAATGGCACTACCGGGAATTGTTTTTTCATTTAGACATTATATTTTCTTTTTTGGGCCCAGTTTTTACGCGATGTAGCCTTATGTCACGAGCCTTATCTTGATATCTTGCCATAATCCAAAGTGACTCACAATTTAGGCACACCAATGAAAATTAGCTACTTTTGTCATATTCAATATTACCACCAGATTGAAATCGGTCATTTCACTACAGAGATCAAACATATGTCTATACACATATCCGAAGCCAGATCCAGCCCCTTTTGGTATTGGCTCAAAGAATAAATGAGTACATAAAAGAAAGCTTATTTTATTATAACAATTTTATTGTCGGGATAAATAGTGTAAAGTAATCGCCGTTTGCGGAACAAATCGTGAAACTTTCCTCAAATGATCACTGATTGCTACTCTTTAAATAAAGCAACTGTGCCAAAAAATCGCCCCATAGGAACTACCCTAATTTTACAATTCTTACCCCCCCCCCATGGTCACGGAAGGGGGGGGGGCTAAAAAAAATTTGACACAATTTTTTTTACTAAATTATGCTCATACTTCAAATTTAATATTACCTTATCATGTTAAGAAGTTGATGTTGAAGTAAAAATATGAAATACCATTGATTTTCGATTGCTATGTTAAAGGGTGGTGATGGGCGACGCCCACTTTTCTTGTATTGAATATTTTGCACCATATCACAGTAGCAGGAGTAAATCAAATAAGTGATATATAATTTTAAAATTACATCTATATCTAATGCTTCACATGACTATTATTTTTCACCTTTTTCACTGTTAAAGGCTTGTTTTGAGTCACACCCATCTTTTAGATATACAGAAAAATGGTCGATACGGCTTGACTTGTGGTTTCTTTTGGCTTCTGAGTGCAGTTAGACTCCATATATCAACTATCTATATCTGTTTCATAGTTCCTTTAGTTTCACTTTGCACACATTTTTAAATCATAGTTTTATTAATCTTATCAATAGAAGGATTTATACTAGTGTCTATCAGTATCATAGTTACTTTTTGGTATGTTGCAGTGTCCTTATGAAGAACAATTGCCATCACACACACATAATGCTGTACAAACAAGATTTCCTTTCAGACTCTTGCATTGTGTTGATATGCATTGGTTTTGCAGCTACACTTTATGAGAGCCTGGCAAGCGTCTGATGCTTGGGGTAAGGTTGTCCACCTTGGTATCCATTTGGTGTCTTCAAATATCCAGCCCCACTCAGCTGGGGAAGGAACTTGAGGATTCACTGTAAGTGGTTGCCCCCAAATAAATACAGCTTGGTATATGACTCTCTTCATATGCTGTAAAAGGTCATCTGATGTTGGACGAATGTGTGATATTATTGAAGTCCTCTTTGTGAACATCTCCTTCCTCGCAGCATTGATTGATGTTTCATTGCTTGTTTTA